ATAATCCAGGATTCTAGTGATTCCTGCTTTAGTCTTGTTAATAAGGGTAGTATTCTAGATTACAGTGATTCTACAAATTTCAGAGTTGTTTTTGCTAGTTCTGAGAGGAATGTTGTTGGTATTTTGATTGAGATTGCATTAAATCTGTAAATAGGTTCTGAGTATGGTCTGTTGGACCCTACTGAGTCCATCTACACAAGGGAAAGGGCTGTCTCTATGCTTTCTGATGTCCTTTTCAATCTCCTTTTTTTCTGAAACACTATTTTCTGTTATAAAGAGGTCTTTTACTTGGGTGAATTTCTGAGTGTTTTATGTTTCTTGATGCTTTTTAAATTTTCTTAGGGTATATTTGCAAGACATAATATTTATATTCCTGTGTAAATTTGGTACATAGACATAGCATACTCTATTTTATGCTTTCATCCACCTTCCCTCTATACCTGAGCTCCTTCCATGATTTATTCCCATTCCTATTTGAAAAACATTTAGCCTCTAACTTCTGTTATCTTTCTTTTATTTTTCTCTTTTATAAAATTGAAGTTTCTCATATAAAAGAACCTGTATGATTTTAATCTTGTGTGTCACATTTATTTCTTTTTTTAAAGAATAAAATATATGGGGATGAGATGGTTTGTCTCAAAGACTGTTGCCCCAGGATGAAGGAGAACTAGAAGCCCATCTATTGCATCACAGGTGAGATCAGGGACCAGGGAGCTAACTCAGCCTTCGTGGAGCAGCTCCAGAAGCGCGGCTTACAAGTGAGCTCCATGATCGAGCCCATCAATGAGTACTGTGTCCAGCAGCTGAAGGAATTTGAGGGGAAAACTTTAGTGTCAGTTATCAAAGAGGGCTTGGAACTTCCAGAAGATGAAGAGGAGGAAAAAAAAAAGAGAGAAAAAGAAAACATTTGAAAACCTGTGCAAGATCACGAAAGACATCTTGGAGAAAAAGTTTGAAAATGTGGTCGTCTCAAACTGATTAGTGACATCCCCATGCTGTGTTGTCACAAGCACATATGGTTGGATGGCGAACATGGGAAGAATCATAAAAGCCCAAGCCCTAAGAGACAACTCTATAATGGGTTACATGGTGGCAAAGAAGCACCTGAAGATAAACCCTGACCACTCCATTATTGAGACATTGAGGCAAAAGGCTGAGGCCGATAAGAAAGACAAGTCTGTGAAGGACCTGGTCATCTTGCTGCATGAAACTGCACTGCTGTTCCCTGTCGTCAGCCTGGAAGACCCACAGACACACGCGAACAGGATTTACAGGGTGATCAAGCTGGGTCTAGGCATTGATGAGGATGACCCCACCACCTATGACACCGCTGCTGCTGTCAACAAAGAGATGCCACCCCGTGAAGGAGATGACGACACGTCGGTCGCGCATGGAAGAAGTCAACTGAGCTCGGCCTGAAGAACCACTAATGCGTGCTCAGTGCTTTAACCTTCATTCCCTCTGATAAGACATATTTTCAAGGATTCTTTTTTTGTTAAGTCTGTATGGCATGATAACTGCTTTTAAGAGAAGATAAGATTTCTTTCTTCTTTTAAGTAATACTGTGATATTTTAGGCACTAAAGCAGAGCCGGCAGTGTTTTCTTTTTTTTTTTTTTGTGGAACCAGGGATTGAACTCAGATCCTTGCATTTGCCAGTCAAGCGCTTATCCTGCTGAGCCATCTCCCCGGCCCCTGTTTTCTCGAGTTTCACCTTGGCTTATTTTAACAGGTTGAGATGTTTGTAGTAAGATGTAACTTCACTGTTAACATGTGAGGTCTGAAGTGCTTAGTCACGAAGCCAGATTCCTTACTAGGCCAGATCTCATGTCTCTGAAGTGTTGAGATCCCCTGATGTTTAAAGGAATATTTGTTAAGATAGCTTGAGTTTTCTTATAGGATCTTTTTTCAAACTTTCCCCAGTAGTTTCAAATCTGCATGTCCTAGGCTTCTAGAAGTACATTATACTGAAAACTTGATGGCAGGGTCTGCACAGGCTTGTTTTCCAAAGAAAAGTACTGTTTCAAGGGAGAGACAACTCCTAGGGATTTCAAAAATCATTCGGAATAAGGCCTGTGAGTGGAAGTGAGTGCCCGGGTCATATTCTGCTTTAAGAGGTATTAAATACAGCCAAGTTTAAAAATAAAAAAAATTAAAAAGAATAAAAAATATGGTTTTAGTGTTCCACATTGCTATCCCCAGTGCAGTTTCTTAGTTCACAGATTTCATCATATAGAGTTGGTCAGGGTGAGAATTCTACCCATTAATTGCTACTTTGAAAAACCTGATGGAGGGGGCTGGTGAGATGGCTCAGTGGTCTAAAGCACCTACTTAGAACAAGCCTAGCAAAGCACAGGGACCGCGGTTCAATCCCCCAGCACCATATGCCAGTCAGCCCCGCCCCCTGGTGGGCTGAGCTGGCCACACACGCGCGCGCACACACACACACACACAAATAAATAAATAAAATAAATGATGTTAATTAAAAAAAAAAAAAAAGCCGGGGGAATGGCTCAGTGGAATAAGTGCTTCCCTGGCAAGCGCGAGGGCCTGAGTTCAATCCCTGGTTCCACAAAAAAAAAGAAAAAGAAAAACCTGATGGAGATTCTTAGGACCATTGCCTTGTCTTAGACAAGAGATCATGTCTGCACCTTGAACTATGAATAACTACTATGAAAAAATATATATACAATGCATTAATTATTGTAACTGTCCTACTGAAACTGTCTCATTGCTATTTCTTTCTCATTAAAATTAATAAAAAGTAGTACAAAAAAGCACTAAAAATGATACAGCTAGTGCCATTTAAGAATGTTGACTGACCATAGGCCGCCTTGCAGGACTCTGCTAAGCTCTGAGTTTCCTCAGCATCCAGTGTGCAGGTGGAGAGCATCTGCTGGTGCTGGTCCAAACTTTTAACAACTTAGGGGCACTCTGAG